CCCCCAAAACCCCAAAACCCCGAGAGAGACCATAAAGTTTAAAAATGAAATTAAGATAATTAATTTTTATACTTGTAAGTAAGCCAAAAACTTAAAATCAAAATACATGATAGTTAATTTCTATTCTTTTTATCATAATTTTAAATTCATAGTCAAAGGGCACCACCATATAATTCTACAAATTAATCCATCAATATTCATTAATAGAATCTAGCCTTGATTAAGAGTGCAGTTTTAAGAGAACGTCCTTCTTTGATATTAAGATAGAGTTAATCTTCATAAAAAGGTTTGCCGAAATGTGAATAAGCCTTTCTCATCTCGTTTTATAACTTCAATGTCGCTTCAAAAATCTTCGACGTCTCATCTTCCTACTTGACATTATTTCCACTATTTTATGAATTCTATTGCAAAGAGTTTTTCCTATTCTTGCTTACATCTAAATTTTATCTAGGTTCATCAGATTTGAAATCTTCTTGGTTGGATTATAATTGCTAGGAATTATGACCGTTTTACTAGTTTTAATTTGTCTGCTAAGGTTAACTCAAATTTTACTGAGTTAATACTGGTTTATCAGGCAGAGTCATTTACTAAGGTGATTCATAATTTGATGATAATTGTGACTAACTATTATTTATCACCTTATCTCTACCGTTCGAATATTGAGAAGCTTCGTTATCATTTGGAATTTCATTGGAATTAATTCTACGGCGTTTATAGGGATCATGATTGCCAATAATACTCTCACTACTAGATGACTATTAATCGTCATCATCATCACTTTTGAGTCTGGATTTGAGCAAACTAGTCCCATCTTTTTATTGGTCGCAGCTTCTATTCCAAGATTACCAATTCTGCTGAGGAGCAGATGTGCTAGAGGAGCCAGCTTTAGCCTGACTAGACCTCTATCGCTCTCTATTATATATGTTATTAATATAAAGAGGAGCCCTACACGAAAAATAAAGCTTACTGCTGCTGATGCATATACCTCGAATTCTACTCTAATGCCCCCGCTGCGAAACTTATTTCAATTTTTGGCTTCGACTTAACTGTCGGGGGCAAATTAACACTTTGGCTCTTCTTGACCACTTATTGGATCTGGTTAGTCTCCTAAATTACACGGATTAATAATTATGCAAAATTATGCTAATAGGGATCAAAACCAGGTAAGCATTTATAACGGAAATAGAGTTTACCTGAAGTTTTTTCTTCTCTTGCTTTCTGCGCTCCTAGTGTTCCCTTTTTTCAATTAGGGCGATTAACTATTGTAGCTTTTTATCGTCTCTAGATAGTTCGTGTGACATAAACCCTGCTTTTACGATATCCCTCGGAAAAATAGTATGCTTTGAAATCTTTATATTAATATTAAATTTTTAATATTTCTAATATTATTTCTTTATCTCAACTTATCTAAATTCTCGGGGTTTTGGGGTTTTGGGGTTTTGGGGTTTTGGGG